ATTTTTTTAATAAAATTTTAAATTTATCACTAAAAAAATTAAATTGTGTAAAAATGTCAGTGACTGTGACAAACATCAATTTAAAAATGCTGAAAACTTGTTCGACTAGATTAAGAATGACGTGGCTGACGTTGATTTTGCACGACAGACAATATTCCGCTAATATTTTAAAATCAGTAGATAGCTACTGCTTGTAGTTGTACCGTGTATAGGATTGGATATTAATTAAAGGTTAAAACCCATTTTTGGTCCCTGAACTATTGTACGGACCACGAGTTGGTCCCTGAACTAAAAATATCTCTGATTTAGTCCCTACTGTTTATCATTTTTACCCCGATTTGGTCTTTCCGTTAAAATTTCACTGTTATCTCATGACAATTTAATGACATGTCAAACATTTGTGACACGTCAGTTGTATAAATGAATAAATAATGACGTGGCAACGTGACATGTCATGTTCTTGCCCAACCCGACAAAAGTGGGGCCCACCAAAATTACAAATTTGCCATCATCTTCTTCCTCCAACAAACAAACCCAGCACTTAAGTTGAATCGAACCCAATAGCTCCCTTTTTTTTTCCTTCCTCTTCCTTGCCTTGCTTTCTTTATCATCATCAAACAACCAAAACCACAGAAAAAATATACCTTGCTTTCTTCATCATCATCAAACAACCAAAACCACAGAGAATATATATATATTTTACCCCTGGATTCGAGGAACCCAGGGTTGGGTTCTATGGAACCCAGTTGGTTCGCGCTGCTGGGTTCCATATTTTTTTTACCCCTGGGTTCCGTTGAACCCACGCCTAGGTTCGACGGAACCCAGGGTTGGGTTCCATGGAACCTAGCTGGTGAACCCAGCGGCGCGAACCAGCTGGGTTCTTCGAACCCAGGCGTGGATTCGAGGGAACCCAACACCTAGGTTCTGTCAAACCCGGGGTTGGGCTCCATGGAACCCAACTCCTGGGTTCCATGGAACCCAACTCCTGGGTTCCAAAGAACCCAGCGGCGAACCAGCTGGGTTCAAGGGAACCCAACCCAAGCAAGCGTGCTGGGTTCGCAAGGAACCCAGCGCCTGGGTGGGTTCGAAAGAACCCAAGCCTACTGGGTTCTGAGGGGAAAGAGAAGGAAAAGGGGAAGGAGAAAGAAAAAGGAAAAAAAATTTATTTTTATTTTTCATAATATTTTTTTATATTACTTTTTTTCCACATCATCATTTTTTGGTTATATTATCTTTCACGTAAATTATTATATGACATGTCATCTGGTAACCGTTAAGTAATAGGTCACGTCACACAATTTTTAATGGAAGGACCAAATCGGGGTAAAAATAATAAACAGCAGGGACCAAATCAGGGATTTTTTTAGTTTAGGGACCAAATCGAGGTCCGTATAATAGTTTAGGAACCAAAAAGGAGTTTTAACCTTAATTAAAGGTAAAATCTCTAATTTGGTACCGAACTATTTTGCAGAGTTAACCCAAAAAAATCTTTCATTTAGTCTCTAAATTATTATATAAATTTTTTATTTGATCATATTATTTATCAATTTATCTTAAGTTGATTTTTTCACATAAAAAATAATTGATGTATCATATTATTAACTTAACACATAATAATTAAATTATTATTTTTTATCATTAAATAATAGATATATCAATTATTTTTTGTATAAAATAATTAATTTAAAATTAAATTAATAAATAATAAGGGTCAAACTAAAATTTTCATATAATAATTTAGGAAACAAATTGAAGTTTTAACCTTAATTAAAAGGCATACAAACTGAAGCCTTATTTTATCTTACA